GAATCATAACCATTACACGATTTAACCACTAGAGGGCAGCAGTATTACATCATTTAATGAATCATAAACATTACACGATTTAACCACTACCACTAGAAAAAATGAAGACGACAGTGGTGCCATACCCCCCCCCCAAAAGTCTAAATGTGTGCAATCCTGACTTTCTTAACACTTTCAGTGTGTGGAATGTGGGCTAATGCTATCAAACGAAGCACTGAAGCCTTAAAAAATAAAGCGACACCAAGCGATGAAACATCCAACGCTCGTGGGAAAGCCTGTTGGGCTTCTTGTTGTGTATGCAGGTTTACATACACATGATAAATAAATGTCTTTGTGATCATCACATTGTATCATCTCATTTATTTGACAAGGGTTTTGCATGTTCAACTCCGCGAGGACGCCGGCGTCCTCGATCCCCTCTCCTTCCGTTCCGTTCCTACGGCTTGCTTGCGCAAACTACGTCACAAAACATGGCCGTGTTTGGTATCCCAGCATGCCCAAAACCCTCATCTTTGCAAAGAAATCATCGATTTTCTTTCATTTCTTATGGAGTTTTCACAAAAGGAGCCCAAACACACACTGTCCAAAGTCGCCATAACCGCTGCAAGTCGGATCTTGCAGCATTTCGATGGAAAAAGACACATTACAGACCCAACAATGTGCTAGCGGATGTTACCATGGAGCTAGTAGCTTCAGTAAACGCTAGTACTTAAAGTACAAACCTTATCTTCCTCTTCTATAAGCCGTCAATCAGCGTATAACCTTGTGTAACTGAGCTACACTCATACTCGATCGTGCGCTCAGTCGCAGCCGTTACGCACAGTAAGTCCGCTGCTTACATACCACGTCTTGGACCATATTATACAGGTGCTGGTATATAATTAGAATATCAATAAAAAGTTAATTTATTTCACTAATTCCATTCAAAAAGTGAAACTTGTCTATTATATTCATAATTACACACAGACTGATATATTTCAAATGTTTATTTCTTTTAATTTTGATGATTATAACTGACAACTAAGGAAAATCCCAAATTCAGTATCTCAGAAAATTTGAATATTACTTAAGACCAATACAATGAAAGGATTTTTAGAAATCTTGGCCAACTGAAAAGTATGAACATGAAAAGTATGAGCATGTAAGCACTCAATACTTAGTTGGGGCTCCTTTTGCCTGAATTACTGCAGCAATGCGGTGTGGCATGGAGTCGATCAGTCTGTGGCACTGCTCAGGTGTTATGAGAGCCCAGGTTGCTCTGATAGTGGCCTTCAGCTCTTCTGCATTGTTGGGTCTGGCATTTCGCATCATCCTCTTCACAATACCCCATAGATTTTCTATGGGGTTAAGGTCAGGCGAGTTTGCTGGCCAATTAAGAACAGGGATACCATGGTCCTTAAACCAGGTACTGGTTGCTTTGGCACTGTGTGCAGGTGCAAAGTCCTGTTGGAAAATGAAATCTGCATCTCCATAAAGTTGGTCAGCAGCAGGAAGCATGAAGTGCTCTAAAACTTCCTGGTATACGGCTGCGTTGACCTTGGACCTCAGAAAACACAGTGGACCAACACCAGCAGATGACATGGCACCCCAAACCATCACTGACTGTGGAAACTTTACACTGGACCTCAAGCAACGTGGATTGTGTGTCTCTCCTCTCTTCCTCCAGACTCTGGGACCCTGATTTCCAAAGGAAATGCAAAATTTACTTTCATCAGAGAACATAACTTTGGACCACTCAGCAGCAGTCCAGTCCTTTTTGTCTTTAGCCCAGGCGAGACGCTTCTGACGCTGTCTGTTGTTCAAGAGTGGCTTGACACAAGGAATGCGACAGCTGAAACCCATGTCTTGCATACATCTGTGCGTAGTGGTTCTTGAAGCACCGACTCCAGCTGCAGTCCACTCTTTCTGAATCTCCCCCACATTTTTGAATCGGTTTTGTTTCACAATCCTCTCCAGGGTGCGGTTATACCTATTGCTTGTACACTTTTTTCTATCACATCTTTTCCTTCCCTTCACCTCTCTATTAATGTGCTTGGACACAGAGCTCTGTGAACAGCCAGCCTCTTTTGCAATGACCTTTTGTGTCTTGCCCTCCTTGTGCAAGGTGTCAATGGTCATCTTTTGGACAACTGTCAAGTCAGCAGTCTTCCCCATGATTGTGTAGCCTACAGAACTAGACTGAGAGACCATTTAAAGGCCTTTGCAGGTGTTTTGAGTTAATTAGCTGATTAGAGTGTGGCACCAGATGTCTTCAATATTGAGCCTTTTCACAATATTCTAATTTTCTGAGATACTGAATTTGGGATTTTCCTTAGTTGTCAGTTATAATCATCAAAATTAAAAGAAATAAACATTTGAAATATATCAGTCTGTGTGTAATGAATGAATATAATAGACAAGTTTCACTTTTTGAATGGAATTAGTGAAATAAATCAACTTTTTGATGATATTCTAATTATATGACCAGCACCTGTATATAATGTGCAATGTGCAAAGGCTAAAAATAAAAGGAAAATAATATAATATCAAAATATAAAGGGAGAAACACCTTTAGTGTGTCAGAATATCATTTGGTTACCATGTGTCCATTTGGGCCTCCAAATATCCTTTTAGAGCTCCGCCTGGATCTCTTCATGGAAGAAACACTGTAGAATCGTCATACTTTGTCCAATCTTCTTCAAATTTGAGGCAGTTGTTCACTGATGGTGTAGTTACAGCCCTATACTGTCATTTACCTGTACAGATACAGCCACAGGCAGTTATTTATACTGAAAGATACTTTTTTTATTTCATGCGGACAAAAATCTTCAATTTTTACTGACTCCAAAGGCCCACTGCTCTGTTTCTATATGACCTACAGGTTTTCTGACACTTTTGATGCATATAGTCACAGTGGTTCAGAAGCTACAGCCATTTTAATTTGGGTATGTCATTTTAGGCGGTTTTGCTCCAAAATAGGGGTGGAGTTGAATAGGTAACAATATAGTTATTGAACACAAATCAAACCAAGAGTGAGATCAATTAGTTAAACTAATAGTGTTAATATTTGAATGGGCCCCGGGACACTTTGTACTTGAAAAGTTGGGCCCCGAGGTCAAAAAGGTTAAGAACCCCTGGTTTAAGGGGCTTTAGGTCATGGCTGTATGGATGTATGGAGGTGAGAGTGCGCCGTCCGATGGAAGCAGTCGGTAACGTCCCGGCTCGCTGATTGGACAACGTAAGCTGACGTGCTGACGCGTTGTTGATGTGCGGGAACCTTTGATCCACGTGGGTGGCCCACTCAGATCATAACGATGAGTAACGGCTTCATTCATAAACACCACCAGCCTGTCATTTATGAAATACACATGCGCACATTGATTTTATTTTATTTTTAGTAACATCAATACAAACGCCTACACTAACTACATGTTGCATCTGAAACAGAATAACTTAACTTTTTAGGTTTTCAACACTCACAGTGTTATGATGATTAAAAAGCGCACAACGTGTGTATGCAGCTACAGGTTAATCACGGAGGTAACAATGCTAGAAATGGCGAAACGAGACCACCCACACACTGAAGGAGTCTGTGAGGAGAGGGAGTAGAAGCTGAGGTGGGAGGAGGAGGAGGAGGACGAGGACGCCATTGCAGCCGCAGCTGGCCGTCTGTGATTTAGGAGGGACTAACGTTATTGAACTATGTCGAGGGGCTTCTTTGGACCTTTTTCAGGCTCAGCCCTCAGTCACTGCGGGGTTGTAGCGTGAAAACAGACAAGCAGGATGGACGGTTCACCTTCGATGAGGAGACAATGTGGAGCCACCGCGCCGAACCGAAGCAGGTAAAAGTTAAAGACGGAGAGCTGTGTGTCGGGGGGACAATGGGAGAAAGTTTGAGCTAACAGAGGCTAACTAACGTTAGATGTTTTAGCTTCTGCTAGCGGGCTGAAACTAGCGGTGCACCCTCCTCACACTTTAACAAAGTTTACATCCATCAGCGTGGAGCTAGCTGTACAGGAGACTTACATGTCTGGGATAAACGTGTCACTTTACGTTAACTCTCTGTAAAGATAACCGAGTAACGTTAACACCAAGGTGGGAGATGACAACCAATGTGTTTATTCTGCTAAAATAAAGTTACCAACTGAAGCTAACGGTAGATGAGAAAGCTAGCCATGCATTTAAATGTGAAACATTTCAACTCACGTTAAAGTTACTTTGCTTAAACTTTAACTCTGCAAACATGCGATTTATTAGTGAGCATTTTTGAGTTTGGTGTTAAAGCCTTTTAAATAATTCCTCATTTACATGTTACAACCTCTGCTTAACGTTACCGATGATGCTACAATGTAAAGCTAGAGGTAGAAATACTATTTATATCCTTAAAAGTAGAAATACAGCAGTGTAAAGCTACTTAGTTCAAGTCTTCCATTCAAAATCTTAAGCATTGTTATCTTCCCCCGTCAATGTTATATTATTATTTATTAGCTACAATATTACATAAATGTGTAAGAAGCATTTTAATGTTGTAGCTGATGGAATTGGAGCTACTATTGACAACTTTACACACTGCTGGACAGTTTAATATACAAATAAATCTTATTTTTCAAATCTATGATATGTTTTGTATTTAAAATGCTAATCTTCAAAGTAACTCCAGCTGTCATATAAATGTATAATGTCTCCCTCTGAAATGTTGTGGAGTTAAACTATGAAGTAGTACACAATGGAAACACAAGTACCTCGATACTGTGTATCGAGTACAATACTTGATGAAGTATACTTAACGTTACAAACATTTTGGGAAGCCCCTGGTTTCAACTCATTTCCATGCTGTGTGGAAATGAAGTAGCAGGCTGTTGAAATGTGTAATCGACCACTCACTATGAACATAGTCTGCCTTAATGTTAATAAAAGTTAAATTATTATAATGAGGTCATGCAGTACACACATCTCAATACAATCTGACCTTAAACTGTATTGGAGCTGAAATTATAGAACAATTATTTGGCAATGATAATTGATTTCACATTTAATTCAATTATCAAGCAAAAGGGCCAAACATGCTCTGGTTTCAGCTTCCTAAATGTGAGGATTTGCTGCTTTTTCCGTTTTTACTTTTCCCTAAATATCACAGGAACTGTTGGTTGGAAGAAATAGTAACGGGCATTTTTTCAGCCATGAAAATCGTGGTTCTTTGCACCCCAGAACTGCATTCCCACACAGCAGTAATGCAACATTCTCCTTCTTCCCACTAACAGTCGCCAACCCTTCCTACACCTGTCTGGTGGCCCAGCCTCGCACCATGAACACCAGTAGGAACTGCACCACAGTGGGGAACGGTGAGGGTCTGGCTGCCCTGGAGTCGGTCTCCATTGTAACCATCACACTCCTCGCCTGCCTGGGGAACCTGTTGATCGTGGCGACCCTCTATCGCAGGCCTTATCTGCTCACGCCCAGCAACAAGTTTGTGTTCAGCCTGACCGCGTCCAACCTGCTGCTGTCCACGCTGGTGCTGCCGTTTGTGGCCGTGAGCTCTGCAAAGAGGGAGTGGGTGTTTGGGGTCGTGTGGTGTAACTTCACCGCGCTGCTCTACCTGCTCATCAGCTCTGCCAGCATGCTGACCCTCGGAGCCATTGCCATCGACAGGTTAGTGCTGGATCATTGTTGAAGTGAGAGGTACTAATAATGATTATAACTTCTTTAGGTTCGTCACTATGGGCACCTCTTATTACATATAGTACATTTATTGTTTCCAGACTCGTGTGCCCTTTAGCAAGTCACTTAAACACTAACACCAAACGATACATTTTTATTCATAAAGCACAGGTGTGAGCATGATATTTAGCAGCACATATTTCTGTTTGTAGGATTCACTTGAATTTGCATTCAATTTACTTTAGGACATGTCAGTTTCTGGTGCATTTCCCTTTTAAGGTCAGTACGCAGCCTCATAAATAAGGTTGGTTAACCACACACTTGGCTCGTGGTATTTTCCTTGAGATTTTCCCAGCTCAAGTGACGAGCATTAGACCGACTCACACAAAGTAACTGTAAATGTGCACTGATATGAATGCACCATTCAGCTGAGATTATGTCCGTTTGTTCCCATTTTTAGAAATAAGAAGCGGATTCACAAATAAAACGGCCTGCACACATAAAGATTGATATTCTGTACTTGACCACTTTTTTAAGACACAGACTGTGACCTTTTTTTTTTTTTTTTCTTTTTTTTTGTTGTTGACTAGATATTTACTATTTCAGACTTTTTTTTTGTGGCTTTTGTGGTTGTTTTGACTAAAGACAAAATGAGACAGTGATACATTTGGAGAGATCACTTTTGTCTAATATAACAATAGGAGAAAGTTTATATTTCTCTATGTAGGGTATCAACAAATATATATCTCTTGGTATCAGCACTGTATAACTTAACTAAGGAACACCTGTTTTTAAAGAGATCATTTACGTGATTTATCAAGCAAAAATAAGCACACCAAACATCCCCTAGCTCCAGCGTGTTCTAGCTTTATATTCCTAAGAGATTTGACAATGTCCCCCTGGGGCTCTGGGAAATTTTAAACTGCATTTTAAAAGATTAATAGATAAATAATCTGCTAGTTAATCTGTTATTTGCAGTGTATTTCTTTTTAGTGTATGTTTTTATAGATGCGCATCAGGTTGGTTGAAATTGACATTGAATTTCCCTCTGGGTAAATGATATTGTTAGGTTGTCAGGGATCACAAAGGACTGTGAAATGTAGTTAAGATCTACTGTAAATTAGCTCTGCAGCATACAGCCCTCACTGTTCCCACTGCTGTCCTATTTGCCCTCGTCACCTTTGGGAGTTTGTGATTACAGTGCATGTTTTTGTTCTCCCGCCAAGCCTCCTTTTCTATTGTATGAGGCTTTTTAGAGAAACACTTGGCAGCATTGTTGTTGGGAGGGGGTGTGTGAGTGCAGCTTGTGGCTGTTAGCTTCTGCATCGCTCACTGAAATCTGAGCAGTCTCTGTGCTTGGACCAGAGGGCTCCCTTCCTAACTGTGCTCTCGTCCGTACAGGTACTACGCAGTGCTTTACCCGATGATCTACCCCATGAAGATCACAGGGAACCGGGCAGTCGTGGCCATCGCCTACGTGTGGCTGCACTCCCTGGTGGGCTGCCTGCCTCCTCTGTTTGGCTGGTCCTCCTTCGAGTTTGACTGCTTCAAGAGGACCTGCGTTGCGTCATGGCACAGAGAGCCGAGTTACACGGCCTTCTGGGTCATCTGGTGCATCCTCCCCCCCTTATTCATCATGCTCGCCTGTTACGGTGTCATTTTCCGCGTCGCCCGCATGAAAGCCCGGAAAGTACACTGTGGGACAGTTGTTGTGGCCCACGAGGACTCCACTGGGGTTCAGAAGAACGGACGTAAAAACTCAAGCACCTCGACCTCCTCTAATGGAAGCCGGCGGAGCCTTGTGTACGCAGGGAGTCAGTGCAAGGCCTTCGTCACCATCTTGGTGGTAGTCGGCACCTTTCTCGTGACCTGGGGGCCGTATGTCGGGGTGGTGTGTACCGAGGCTTTGTGGGGACAAGGGAGTGTGTCTCAGGGACTGGAGACTTTGGTCGCGTGGCTGTCGTTCTGCAGCGCCGTGTGCCACCCGTTCATCTACGGCCTGTGGAATAAAACAGTGAGGAAGGAGCTGCTGGGGATGTGTTTCGGAGATCGCTACTACAGAGAGTCATTCGCCACGCGGCAAAGGACGTCCCGCCTCTTCAGTATCTCCAACAGAATCACAGGTGGGTGTAAGGAGGGCTCTCTTTGTCATGCAGATCAATTCAAATGAAGGTGGACGTCATTTTTTAAATATTTATTTATAACCGCTTTATGTAAAGACAACAAATCATAGACGAAAAGAAAAATGTTCCGGAAGATACAAATAGACACAGAGTCAAAACAAGGACAACTAAGCTGTACAAAGACAAGAAAACATAACTGTTATGTACAGAGAAGGTCGGTACAATGTTTATTTACAGATTAAACTGTAAATGGACACATTAGTAAAAGGGTGTAATAAGTGGCTTATGTACAGTTTAAAGCCTGTTTTGATGTACATTTGTGTGTTTAATGTGTTGTATGATGTTGTTCAATGAGATCTTGCTTGTGTTCTTTCAGATTTGGGCATGTCCCCACACCTGACCGCTATGCTGGCCGGTGGAGGGCATCTACTGGCCCCAGGAAGCAGCACCGGGGACACTGGCTTCAGTTTCACTCAGGACTCCTGTAAGTGTTGCACACAGGGAAAAAACGTCCTCTGTGTGTCCTAACCCAACACAATAATAATCATTTTACTAAACCTCCTAAAGGCCGAGGTAACGTCTTCCAACTACTCGTTTTGACCAGTCACAAACCCAAAGGTGGATCTGTTCACTGTTGTTAAAAGCTGGAACCAAAGAATGTTTGATAGTTTTGCTTGAAAGATGAACTAAAATAACTAGTCATGTATCAAAGTAGTTGCCAATACATTTTCTGTTAATTGATTAATTGACTAATTGTTCCAGCTGTAGAGTTTGCTCAAAAGTCTTTCCCATAAAATCTGTAAATCTTCTCCATATACTGTACATACAGTAATGTCATATGGTCTTAAAACCTGCAAGGGTGGCAACGAACAATCCTGTTGAATGTGAGATTAGCCATGGACAGACAGACAGATGCACACACTGTTGCACACACACGACCAAAGGCATAACCTCCCCAGGTTTACGCTTGGTTGAGATAATAACACAGAGAAAGGCAGCAAATTATCACTTTTAAGAACCTTGAACCAGAGATTATTTTCTTGATGAATTACTTAAACAATTAATTTATTTGCTATCAAAATCGGGGGGTGATTATTTGTCCGTCAATAAATAAACAATTAATTAATTGTTTCAGAACTACAATAATAATCATTTGTCCTTTGTCAACAGAAGATGCATCTTTACTGACAAATGTGTTCATGCTTTTAAACTCTGCTTTTTAAAACGCAACTGTTAATCTTAGTATGAACATAAAATGATTCATGGCATGCATAAACATAATGTTTGAAACTCTATTGCGTCATACTCCCACAGCGTTGTTACAGTCGCCCTCACATTCCTGTCTCACAGCTCATGTTTGCAGTTCAGGATGGCAAGTAATGTCATGTGTAATACAAAGAAACGTCTGATTATCTCCTTTGTGTTTAGAGCTGCGAGGTATGGCCAGAATCTGCTGATGATATACACTACCATATCGCATGGTTTCTGGTAATTCAATAAATAAATAGTCTATATGATATGACAACCAATTAACCCGCCTTTTTTCCTGTAATGTCTCCCACACAGGCACAGACGTGATGCTGCTGGATGACTTCTCCACCGACGGCTCCTCCCACCCACAACAACACGGGAATCCATCCGGGAAGAGGAGGAGCTCCGTCACCTTTGAAGACCAGGTGGAGCAAGCCAAAGGTATCATTTTCACCGCTACACAAACAGATCAGCGGGGAAGGGAGTTCCCTCCATACACACTGAGGCTTTGAAGAGTGACTCTGTGGTCAGCAAGCTACAAAACAGAACCTCACACGAAACACGAGACTTGTTTGTCTGATGGTATCCATGTTTTTTTTCCTCCTCAGCTGAAAACACAAGCGCGTCCTCGGTTCAAGTCCACGCAGAGGTGCACAAGTCTCTCGACATCTTCGCCTCCTGCCTGGCAAAGGCGATAGAGAGCGACGCTAAGCTCGCCCTGTTCGGGGAGGGTCTGGCTCTTCCGGGGGGACTGTTTACGACGAGAGCGGCACCGAGACCCAGATACCTGGACGGTCAGAGACTGAGGCTGGAGAGTATCGATGAAGGGATCGTTAAAGATGACAGAGAAGAAGAACAGCAGCGGGAGGTGGAGGAAAAACCGGCCTGACCGCAAGCAGGTCTGTGGACATGTTGTCTTTAGACGGTTTATTAGTGAACCGCACAGGTTAGAGTGGTGCTCGTCATGCTCTGTAGTGCAGTTTATGATCCTGATCTGGCCACACATGGGTACTCCATACTTGAAATTATTAGGAAACAGGAAGAGGCACATTATTAATTCCACTATGTTGTACCAAGTGCACACCATCAGCGTCCTTGCAAGCTTTTGTGTGGATTCATGTAATCAATAGGAAGCCTTAACTACTGTAACCTAAATGATCGGATTGTTGTAGTAATTTGTTTATTGCTCTATATTATGGTATGTCCTCTGGATTTGCCATAACGTGTGCCTCATCAGGGCTGGAAAGAATGCATTTGTTTCAGTCTGTTATCAGATCATTTTAAACTTTCTCTTTTATTACATGAAGAGAAGGAAGTTTCAAACCCAACTTCTCTATTCAGGTACAGATGAAGGTGTGCTTGTACTGCACACCGATTCTCCATAAACACAGGTGTTTCCACTTATTGTGCCCGCAGAGTTGGACATGTGAGAGTTAAAATACTGGACATTGAAACACCATATCCATTACTTTGGGTTTTAATTAGCTTGAATGACGGACTTTGAGTGAAGTGACGCGTCTATATTTATTTAATATCACAGAAGTGTCAAAGTCGGATATATCGGAGCTTTCAGAAGTTTCCAGTCTTAAACTATTTAAAAGTGTGACCCCACTATTACGATATAACTTGTAAGTAGAGCTCTTGTCAGCCATAATCAGTGAAAGGCCTTTAATGTAATAAAAGGGGAACTTTAAAGGGAGCGTATAACACTGTCGGGAGTCTTTTGGGTGATAGAAATCACAGTTATAGTTTGTCGTTTGGACAAGATGGATTTGTGTTTTCAAAATAATTACAGTAAGCAGAAGGCCTTCCTCTGACACACACTACAAAATACAGTGTGTTTACATACGGATTACCCGTGTTAAGTGTTGCGTATGAAATGGTCATATTTAGCCTACGGATTCTTGAGTTCTGTGACTTTGACCACCAATTTCTAATCAGTTCAGGTTTGAATCAAAGAGGCCCTTTTCATAGCAGCCGACCTAAATGGAACGGGGCCATAATACATTTTTATCATCTACACCTGTGTTATTAGTCTAAACGATGGGGACGTTTTAGAGTCCTGATACTGCGCATGCTGGCTCACTGTCACGGTTTACTGGGACACCTGAATAGAACAGAGCCATCGTTAATGTTATTAGTAACACCTGTGTTTCCTGCTGTGGAAGAGGCCTATTGAGGGAGATTGAAAACACAACATTGCCTGTAGGTGTTGACAGCTGTCTTGTAAATTCTGTATTGTAATTCATAAGAGAACTTCTGTAGTGACACAGTTTGTCCATGTATTGCTCAGCCCTGCACTTAATCATATGAATCAGATGGTGAACAGTTGTAGTATTGATACGGAACGGGGACAGTCCTGACATTTCATTATTAGCAGCTACAGTAATTACACTTGCAGTATGTGCTTGCTCACATAGAAACTACTCTCATTGTGTGTCAGAGAAGGCGATTATTACTGCATGGTCAGTATTTTTACTTACCAAAAAAACAGTATATTCAGAAACTATCCAATGGGTTAATGAAGTCCAAAATTAGGTAATATGGAAACTGATTATCAGTATTTCACAGGTTGTTATATTAATAAAGCTGCATTGGCAAAGGCCTACATTTCATATTGTTGTGCACACTGTGCAGTGATCTTTAAAAGTCAAAGAAAAATAAATGGTGTCGAGTTGTCTTAAGGAAAAACTGGTCTTAATCAACAGTTTTAGTAAATATTCAATGGTGCATGTGGTTTACCTCAGTTTATACACTCCATCACTCCCTTTACTATTCTAAAAGAAGCTCTAGAGGACATTTGTAATAAGTAGAGTGCTTCAGTCTTACCTCGTATCTTTTATATTATGTTTGGTACTATACACAAGTGATGTAACCTTTTGATTTTCACTATACAGTTTAAAGTATTAATAGAAATATTTGCATTAAAGTTTTGTATCAAGATTCTTCTATTAAAATGTTTTCATAAAAATGTTCAGAACTCATATTTATTATTTTTCCTCTGATGCCGTGAAGCTTGAACCATGTTGGCGTCTAAATGACGACGACCACCTGACCTGCAGTAATACACTGGAGCTGTTTCACTCATATTCACGTCAAGTCAAATACCCAGTTATGACTCAAAAATCAAGAGGGTCGTTTAAGAACAGTTACAAGTGTTCTTACAATCAGACTGTTTACAGCAGTACTACTGTATGAATGGAGTTGTGTAAAGCTGAAGACTACATGTTTGAGAAGAAATAAAGTTAAGTTGGAGAGAAATGAGCTTAAAGTTAGTGAGGAAGTTATAACTGGTCACTGGGTCACATTCCACACGAAATCATGCAGGTTTACCAGAAACTCTTGGAAATCCCAGAATCCCACCACAGACGGACCCAGATCCGGCTTCACTGCTGCCCCAGAACCAGGACTGCACAGGACTACTAACCCAAGTAGCTTTAACAGACCTCTGCAGCCCGCTTGATGCTAATGGCTCGAGGCTACATTAGCTGGTGCAGCTGCAGAGGAAATGTGAGCTAACAGTTGTTTCTGCAGTAAAATGTCCAGCTTAAAAAACTGATTGTTGTTCATTTCTGGAATGATTTTTAATTATTTAGCTTGTGCACAGTCGTCTTAAGCTTCTTTGAGATGCCAAAGCTTTATTTTGAATTAAAAATTCTGTAAAATATGATTTACTGTGTTGACATTGAACCACAGCTTTGTTTCTCTTATTTTATTCAACAATAAAATTAAAGCAATCTCCAAGTATGTTTTTACTTAAAGTCCTTGTTTACATGCGTAACTGCCGGAGCAGCACATCAACATTTCTTAGCTTTGTGCTACAATTTCAAAATGTCACACGTTAACACTGATCAAAGCTCACTCTCTCCTAACAAAATAATATTGCACTTAACATCCTTGCACACCAGCCGCCATTATTCTCACACTTAATATATATATATACTGACGTCGTTGCCTTTTGCATTCACACAGATGTACTTTATCCTCATACAGAAACATCAGTAAGAAAGTCATCTTAAAAAAACACGGGGGGCTAGAAATGACACTAATTTTCAAAAGGAAGTATTCTACACTATACTTGTACAAATCTCAGTTTTTTTTCAAGTGCTATACAGCAAGAAGAAATAGTGTTTTCTTTAAAATAAAATGCCAGCAGGCTACTGCTCGTCCTCATTTTCCTGTCCCGAACCTTCGGAGCGATCGCCTTCTAGTCGATCTGCAAGAAGGCACAGACAGATGTTAAAGAAGGGGGCACATAAGTGTCCTGAGGAAAGGTAAGTAAACCGAGTCTGTACTGCCCAAATATTCAAACCAATAGAGTACCTGATCTGATGTGATTAAGGGAGGCCAACATTCGGAGCATGAAAGAGGCCGGGACCGTGATTGTGTTCCTCGTTTCTTCCAGCATCAGCTCGTTCCGAGCTATTACCTTGAAAGAGACGAAGACGACGAAGAGAGAATGTGAAGGAAGTTGAATCTGACAAATAATGGGAAAAACAGAAAACTGCTCCGACAGAAACATGAATTTAATTTTTTTCATTGGTCCCTGTAAAATAAAATATATAAAGTAAAAGTTTGACATTTTGGGAAGAAGCCTTCTTTACTTTCTTGGTGAAACTTAGATGAAAAGATTTAGTAAATATGAAGCCTGAAGACTATTAGCATGAAGACTTGAAACGGGACAAATAGCTATAGCCTAACTGACAAAATCCACATACCAGCGCCTCAAACCATATATAAAATGTTAATAAGCCCACTAATTAGCATGTTACATTAATCTGTGCAAAAACCAAAGAGGACAAATTAAAAGTGTTATGTGACGGACTATTATTGTCCAGAGAAGTGACTTCCTGAAGTCACCATGAGGTCGCAATGATCCTGATGTGTTTTGGTTGCGTGAGGATAATATGTTGAGTTGATCCTTCCTAAACGGTAAAATTATAAATAAATGATGCAAATTATTTGAAATGTTCTCATTTTGAATTAGTGGAACTATATATTCTCTTCAATGAGCCAGGCAGCATTTGGTAAATAAATCAGTCCACTGATTTCCCTGATCTCTTGGCGGTCGTACCTCATTGGCGAGGACTCTGTTGAAAGATGGCGATTGTTCCAGTGGCGACCAAATCTTGATATCGTAGTCAATCCCGCAAGAAGCCAGGACTGAAACAGAGCAGAAAATGAACATAACCGTACTCAGCAACATGGTCAGATCATCTGAGGTGAGGGGGGGGGGGGGGGAAGCTGGGACTCACTGGGGTCGTACGGGTGCGGCTGCAGGCAGTTCACCACGTGGTTGTCGGCTTCCAGCAGCATGAGGTGCTCTGCAGTGTGTCTGTCCCAGATGAAGATGTGGCCGCAGTCTGAGCCGCTCATTACGAAGTTGTTCCCCCAAAAACAGGACTCCTTTATCTGGACAAAGTGAACAAACCCACCTTGAATTTTACACCGTTGAAGGAATAGACACCACTCTCATATCTGTGTGTTAAGCCAAGAGCTGGAGACCAGAGAGCATAAAGGCTAGAAACTGTTCAAAGCACACCTCACTAATTGTTTAATCAACGCACAGAAATGTAAAAACATCAATTCGTGGTTTTGGAGTTATGTGGTCTGACTATTTCTTGACAAATGACAGTTGATGCATCAGCCCAGAAGTTCAGAGCAGCTTCTCTGACTCTCGGCAGATGTTGTCAGATTTAGTGCATGAGCTCTGGTTTTAGTAGACAACCTCACGGTGATGACAGGATTCCAGGAAGTTGACTGTCAACGGTGATGACAGGATTCCAGGAAGTTGACTGTCAAGACTGTCGTTTTTTAAGAAATAATCACTGCACGTATTGTTCTTAAACCACAAACTGTCGTTACATTTACTTTTTTACAATTCTGTTTGTGTACAAATTAAACAAACAAGACACAACATGTTAATGAGTGAACTTTAGAGGTGCTGGTAGTCGCATTTTTGCACTTTGGATAGACCGAGGCTAGCGGTTTCTCCGCTTCCTGTCTTTATGCTAAGCTAAGCTAACTGCCTCCCGGTCCCAGCTTCATACTTAACACACAAGACATGAGTACCCAGAAAGAAAGAAAGTATTTCCTAAAATGTCAAACCATTCCTTCAAGAGGCCTCTAGAGCACTATGATGAAAGCGTACCATTGTCCTGGAGTTGCGGTGGCCTTTGTAGACCATCTTGACTGAGGGTCTCCTGATATTCTGTGTCTCGCTCTCCTCCATCTCCCGTCGTTCTTTCCTCCTGCGAAACAGCTCCTGGATACGAGCGGCAGCTGAGCGTCTGTAAAACACAAGAAAACCAATATATGTGATAATAAAGCACGCGAAAGACCAAAAAAACAAACAAAAGACACACAAACCCATGCCGTCTCTGATGCTTATGAACTCCATGCTTTGAGTCTTGAGTGAAATTTGTGCTGATAAAATCAATTCAACCGAATAACAAACCCCAAGCTAGAAAGCAGCCACTTTCAAGGCAAAACAAATCATAACGGAATCAAGCCCTTAATGTTGTTGTTGTGCAAAGTGTTGTCCATTAACAACAGCAGTGTCGATAAATTAAATCTACAGTGCACACACAGTATACTAGTTGGAAAAAAATCCTCCGCCTCCGGTAGAAATCAAAAATCAATTTGTCCTTTTCCATCATGCACACTTTCTCTGATCATTCCTCTTTCTTCTGTACAAAACCTTCAAAATGCTGCCGTTATGCTGCCACTCACACATCTGTGGAGTCAGTGCTGACATGCACATCACTCTAACGCTACAGTTAGCCGTGTGTAGATTAGTTTTTTTGTGAGTGAAATGACCAAACCAAGGCTAAAAAAACCCTGTTTTCTTCATCATGTTATGCTGTTGAGTTTTAATGCGCTGCTGCATGTCACACACCTGACAGGTTAGATGCTTTTAGTGTAACACTTTACCTGATCATCCTATCTCCTACTGCAGATCCTCTGGAATTTAATCTATATTTGTAGTGAAACAGTCAATGGGAAGGCATCACAGAAAATCAGAATACCCACCCTTTAAAAGTGATATTAAACAAGAGCAAAGATATAATAACCTGCATTCCAAACAAATGAGGGTGTTTTCTTGCTTGTAGCGAGTGAATAGAAACGAGAGCAGTCTGACGTACCTCTGTCCCTGACCTCTGAACCTCGTGGACGGGATGAGAATCGGGTCGTCGTCGCTGTCGTCAGAGTCCTGGTGGGCCCGTGCAGGCTCCTGTGCAGGCTCCCGTGCAGGCTCCCGTGCAGGCTGGCTCTGGCCCTCCTCTTCCTCCTCCGCTCTGGGCTCTGCTCTCCTGCAGCCTCCCGACGTGTCCTCGGCACCCTCCGGCTGACTCCTCTCCACCAGCGAAGCAGCAGCCACGGTGTCCCCCTGAGAGGAGCCCGCCGCTGGGGCCTGAGCCGACGAGCTGCCGAGGGCCCCGGAGCAGGAGGCGCTACACGGCGGCTCTGTGGAGGCGGCCGGGATGCTCGGCTGCCCCGGGGACACAGACGGAGCTGAGGGGAAATACATATCAGTACATCTAGGACTTTGTAGGATTACAAAGTTTGTATACTTCTAATATTTTTTACTGATTAAAGGTGTGACAGAGCGCATGTTTTTTGTGTGTTTTTTAAATGTGTATATATGAAGTGCTGCATTTTAATACTGCCTCTGTGCATCATTTGCACCAATGAATTTACTTCTTTGGATACTAAAGTTTAAGAGTAACTTAAAGATAATGTTCAAGATCTTAAGTATACGCTATATTTACAATATCAAATATTTACAATATTTCAGCCTGGTGTTAAGTTGCTTTTTTAAAATCTGTTTTCAAATTCTGTCAGAGCCGGTTCCCTGGTGCTGAAGTTACTCACGTGGCTCTGACACTGAACTCTCCGTCGACAGAGTCTCTCTGCTCCGCACAGCCGCAGTCTCAGACGCTTTGGGACCTCCACTGCCCATAGAGCTGGATGTGCTGCTGCTCCTGTGGGGGAAGATTAGAAAACAGTGACTGAGAGGGTTTGTAAATGATTCCTCAGTGAGGAATTTGTTGTAGCATGTTGATCATGCATCTGTTTCCACAACATTTGTACACATAAATTCATAGAGGGTGAACATTCTTTCTGCTTTGCAAACTGTGAAGGAACCCGAAATGATGCAAAGTGTTGTTCACTGAAAGTTTACAGATTGAAACGTCGACATCGTAACGAAATAAAATGAAGACATGCAACCAAGCTCTGCAATTATGATGATCCACAATGCTGTCAAGACATGAAACTAATGGAATGTGTTTTCGACAATAAATATTCACCATGACTTCAGGTTTGATTTATGTGGAAAGAAATCAGATAGCAGAATAATAAACACATGCAAAACCTCCAAAGTTATTATTCATGCTATTATTATTCCATGGAAGTCACTGCACACAGAGATGGAGATGAAGTATACCCTGCTTTATCATCTATGTTACTCTAAACGGGTCCATCATTTACAAATGAACATCATGCTGTATTGGAGAAGACTTGAAACTCGTGATCAAGACCATAAACTCATGTGTACAATGTTTACTAAGGGAATAAATCAAGTGAGGACGAGGGATATGTTCTCATAGACTTTTATAGAATCAGACTTCTTTATGCAAACAGAGGAGTCGCCCCCTGCTGGTCAGTTGTAAGAATGCAGGTTTAAGGCTGCCGCCTGGTTTGACTATGATCCCTGCTTTCTATTTGTACTAGATTTGCATAAGGCACTGCATCATTATACTTTTCCTCACTCACCATTCATCAGTGAAGTCCAGCTTGATTGTGCTGGTGGTGGTTCCCTCTGAGCTGTAGTGCAGGCTGAGGACGGGCTCTGCTGCACTGGGTCGACTGGTGCCGGTCATGGTGGTGGAGGTGGTGGGTGCGCTGGTGCTGACTGGTACAGAAACAGGTTGAGCGGGAGGTGAACCTGCCGCTTCTGCTGCTGCTCCTGATAAGAAGACACACGGGCGAAGCGGGCGAGAAGGATTCATTGTAAATCTGTTTTACCAATTAACTCTGAGAGAAAAAGCTTCGGCTCAGATTATTCTTTTGCCTGTTGCTCACAGCATGTAACTGGTTGTTTAAAAGGCACACTAGCGACATGCAACCGCCTGCTGCGTGATCACTCCCCATTGATAAACAACACAAGCATGCAGCTGACAGTCACAGAGCGGACATAAGGTGGACTATCACCAGCAACAACACACGCACTGATACTGTGCAGGTATATTAATACCTGGGCTTTGGGTATCAGCCAATATAGAGTATGGATCCGATACCAGTGATAAATTAATAAGCGGTTTGCCTCACTGTGTGGAAGAGACTGGGATCACTCCGTCATGTGTAAGGCAACATCAGGCTCGACTTAAACATTGTAAAACAATAGATACAAAAGTACTGAATTATTGTTTATCAAAACGTCAATACTCAGATAATATATGTGATATAAGATATGTCACAGTATCTCTTGATGAATGTGTGATGCATGATTTCATTACTTAGATGATGATGTTGGTTATTATTCTGATACAGTAACTTTGGTCAGCTAGACACACTGGCTATCCGCAGACACATAAACGTGTGTCTGGACAGATAATGGGAATAATGGGAAAGTCAAGTAGTGGATAGAGAGAAATAAGAAGCATGAAAACGATGCAGGACAGACTGTGCAGAGGGCTGAGAGCAGGTGTTTGTGTGGATGAGGGAGTGTGAAGAAGAAAAGCAAGTGGCAGGGTTTGGAGGGTTGGGGGGGGGGGAACGCACCCTGCTGTTCATCAAGAGTCATGGATCCCAGCTGTTTGTTTACCACAGACGAGGGGGAATCTGGAACACAAATGAGACCGACTAAACATCGGTGACGGACGCACGAGGGTTAAAAATTGCAAAGTCGTGTTAAAATCGATCCCAAGGCCGAGCAGGAGAAGCTGTCAAATCAGCCAAAAGGATCATTTCACATTCATTGCAAGTGCAAAATGAGTATCGGAGATTATTAAGTCTGAACATGACAAGCTCACTCATGCTTACTACACGCCCTGCTAGTAAGTGGTTAATTCCTGCAGTGTTATAATAACCATCAAGCTCACTGTAAGACACCACAATGGAAAACACAAACATAATAATTACATTCTGTTTGCTTTTGAAACCTTAAAAATAATCCAAAGACATCTGTGCAGTCTGGTTTTAACGTAAACAATACAAGCAACGGCCCTTTATTCAGTTAATGACTAGTTGGTCTTGGATGTCCGATAAAGCCCCTTTCAGACATGCAGCTTGTTACATAAATGCGAATGCAATTGTACGTTTCATTCTCACATAACAACCCACTGAGTCCCTTTAACGTAAAGCCACAACTCCTAAACGTACCGGGACAAACCTGTCAACATGTCCGAGTCTCTGAATTCAATATCGTCTCATTAGCATAAAAGGCTGCAGAAGCACGGGGTTAAATATCTCTCGGAGAGATTAAATGCACCTCTTGTTCGCAATAAGAGCACTGTAACAAGTTCATTACTTAATTACCATCTTCAGCTCAGACAAATCAGTTTAACAAACCGCTGTGAACACGCCACTCTTACCAAATTAAAAGGTGACTTGACAAAATGCACTTTTTCCTTTTCATCATAAATAGTGTCGCTGGTGTGTCTACAGACCCCCAAAGAGAAGACCAGCTCCTCTCGTTTTCTCCTGCTCCATCTATCAGAAAGAGATCCTTCTATAATATACATAATAATAAGATACAATAATCATTGGACTGCATGACTGAACACATCCAGAAAAAAACAGGCATTACACGCAGCGTGTGAGAGTAATAGCAGTAAACGCACTGGCAGACAATAGCAGCTGACGTTGCTCTCTGATAAACAATGACATTGAGAAAATATGCGTTCACTTTGAAAAGCATCGGCAAGCTCCCATGATCTTTATAAACTCCAAAGTAAAAAAGTTTAAGTTAAGTTGAAAAACTATCACTGATGCAGCTCCTCCATTTCTTTTCAACTGTCAAGCTATTTGTGCACCAGAAGAGCGCCGTCTCTTTCTGTGAAAGTTCTGCATTAAGCCACAGGGAGCGGTCACGTAGCGGACATCTACGTCTGAATGACATCACTTTAAAGCCATCACTTTAACAGGCACAGTAGGTGATGTAATGTTATTCCATGTCTGAAAAGGGCTTTAGTTACGATTCTCAAGTTTGAGTCGGATCAAACCAAAGTGAATCAAGTCCAACAGTCCAGACAGCTGATCAGAATGTATCACTAACAAAAATAAATAAATGTGTGAACAACCACATGAGCCAAAGACGAGCTTCATACTGACCGGTGCCACTCGGGGTGAAAACTCAAGCAACAAGTGGAGCGATGAGGTGAGAGCATTAGTGAGTGAGGGGCTGAGCAAACAGTGGAGAGGCGACACAGTGACGGCTACAGAGGTTAATAAGGACAAGGTGCATCATTGGGGAATGGAAAGAGGATCACTGTGAGATTAGTGGTCAGTTTTATCAAGGCCGGGTCTTTCTGGAGCCTAACTGTCTCTACAAACAAGAGAGAAAGACAGCCCGCGTGGAGGGGAGGCGGGGAGCTCGGAGGGGAGGGTAACCTGGAAGGGGTCGCGTCTCAGCAGCAGCAGCAGTGGCAGCGACAGCAGTAGTAGCAGCTCTTTGGGACTGCCTCTCAGTGGCTGCAGGGGAGGAAGAAGAAGAAGAACGGGCCGCTCGCTGACCCAGTCCTGGTGGGTCGGCCAGCCGAAGTAACCTCTGCAAACGCCTACACACTAAACTTATGGGCAGCCGATGAGGACCGTACTCTGACAGAGAGGCAGAGAGGAAGAGAGGCAGAGTGAATGCACGAAGGGGGGGGGGGGGGAGCAGAGAGTCAGGAAATAAAAGAGGGAGGAGGACAACAGGATGCTGAAGGAAAAGAGAGTGACGTGAGGCTGCTGCTTGAGTGGAGTGGCTCCAACAAACACACACAAGTACACACACACGCACTCACACATACATGGGAGTCGATCTGAGGATACCTACTCACTGTCCTAAAGAGTCAAATGTCAATAGCTGTTTTTGTGTCTTTTGTCAAAGCGACAGTTGTGTGTATTGTTTCCTTACCTGAGAGAGCAGGTTCTGAGGTGGGTGTGGGTGTCGGCGTAGGCGCGGAGGTCCCGGTCGTGTCGGCCTGACTCCTCTGCTCTGAGTCAGGCGAGGAGGTGAGTGGGGAGGAGGAAGGAGCCGAGCTCTCCACCGATGAGGAGGTGGAAGGAGGAAGTGCTGTGACTGTTGATGACGAGCCTGAGGAGGAAGAGGAAGTGGATTTAGGGATAGCGGCAGCGGCGACCTCGGGACCGGCAGGTACCTCCTGCGCGGTTGACCCCGCGGGCCTCTCAGGGACGCTGGACTCCTGACTTGAGCCTCCTGCGGGGGCCGCTGGAGTACTCGACGCCGCTTCTGGACGGATAGCTATTCCGGAAACAAGAAAATAAATATATGTCAACAATAAGTAGATACGGTAAATGGATCCATATTAAAACACCTAGAAAATTATACAGCATGATCCAATGCCACATAACACAGAATCTATAGCCTGTTCATTTACAATGCCTCCACCTAGATACCTTACACAATGCACTAAACTTACCAACAACACACACACACACACACCGGTAATTTGAGAACTTTTAGTGCGTCTGATTTGCTGAGTGTTGGGTGTTTTCTCAATGTCTCACCTCTGGGTCGTGTCTGAGGCCGAGTTCCTCTGCTGCTCTGAGCTTCGCTGGCCTCCTCAAACCAACGAGACAACATGTCCGACATCCTCTGCATCAGGGACACGTTCGGGCTCTGCTCGCCTACGAGAGCGCGGGAGAAAAGCGTTCACAGGTTTACACAGGTTCACTGGACGTATTAAAACAAACACGACAGAGGCCAATATGTCGAGACAATGCTGCACAACACCGTTAAAATGACTGTTGTTTCTCATGTGGAGCCTCAGGAAAGAAATGGGACAGTAAATTTGACCAAATATTGATTCAGCGACTCAGACTTTTGCAATTTGGAAAATTCTAACCAGTGATGACTAAAGCAAATAGAGTGGAATAAAAGTTGTGTTGTGATATATGCTTATTGCGACACTGACATTGAAGTGGAAACACAGACATGGTTTCCTGTGTAGAAGCAAACTACTCTTTGGTTGAGGTGTCACTTGTAACTGCATTCATATTTAAGTCAATAAGTTGCACAGTTTATTAAAAGGTTTAATGTGCATGAAAGCATTTTTTAGACGGAGGCTCTGATTTTTCAGCCTGGCAAGAAAATGTATTTGCCACTTTACTTCTAATAAACAGGGATTGAGGAATAAATCGAAATGGCCAAAAAATGTATTTACAAAACATTTGTAACATGTGGGCGGGCGTTGGAGAACTGTCTCAGAGGCCGGATCTGTAATTAGAGACCGACCAGAAACACGTACATGTGAGTTGCTGTGCTGACTACTCTGATCTTACCGTCCCTCTCCCTCTCACTCTCAGGACGAGCTCGGGGTCCAGTGTCAGACCAGTCACCTCGTAGACGGAGGCGCTTCACTGGAGGCTGCCTCAGCTGTGGAAACACACACACACACACACACACACACACACACACACACACACACAGAAAGATTAGCAGTTTGTCAGTCAAAGCATGGTCAAAAATAGCTCCGCTGCCAAAGCAAAACACTGTTCGTCTCTGTCAGTGTCCTCTTTAGAGTGCCCCCCCCCCTCCCTCCCTCCCGTCTGCCTGCACGACCGAGGTTGCCTCCACTTTCCAATCCCCTGGCTCTCTTTACAGGGCAACAGGCTGAGAGCCAGAAATAGAAAAAGGGGGTCTTAGTGCAGAGACTATCAACTGCTTTACTCCGGAAATGTCATCAGGTCTGATTGTGGGCTGGAGGTGGTGAAAAGCCGCAGAGGCTGACAGAGATAGTAGAATAAATCAGAGAGCAAAAGGCCCCGAGGAAATTAGGTTATAGGTGGAGGAAAAAGGGAGGGAGGGAGGGAGAGGGAGAGAGAGAGGGAGAGAGAGAGAGAGAGAATGAGCCTTTGCTCGGCTGTCCCCTCCACCTCAGCCTGAACTATTTTGGAGGATAGATGAACACTGCCTGCGTCGGTCGCTGTATTTGGAAAGGAATGCGTGTGGTGGTTGCATCTCGACACAGCTGAGCTCACCACGAGGCTTTCAAACACTGGCACCATGATCCAGCACATTCAGACACACGTGAAGACCAGTACTGGCAGCAAACACTTTCCAACTGAATGCTCACCCAAACAGATATGACGACACGTTTAAGAACACTGAAGAATACACGTTCTATATTTGGTTATAATCAATAATCCACTGTACACTGAACACAAAGTACAGCTGAGGTAATGGGAAGCGTAACTAAAAACACGCAGTTTCTAACAGGACTCATGTGATGTTACGGGAGCCGCATGACTCGGAGTCAACACTGTGCGCTCACCTCCTCCCTCCTCTCCTCTGACGGGCCCTTCAGCTCTCGGGCCTGGTCATCTTTGGGATCGAACAGGTAGATGTAATCGGAGGAGTAGCTGACCAGCACCTCCTGACCGTCCTCGCTGTAGCAGAGGGAAGTCACGCGACACGACTTGTTGGACAGGTGAGCGGGAACAAACCTCACGCACATGCCCGTCGTGCCCCGGCCCATGTAGTTACCTGTGGACGAGAAAGAGAGCGCCTCACTAGTCTGGTGGCTACGTTTCTATAATTCAGCTGTTTTATTCAAGTTTTGCATTTTTTTGTATCTTCTTTTTTATGTTTAAAAGTTTTAGCCAAGTGTGGTTTTTAAATTACATTGAGTTGGATACATTTTACATCTCCAATGAAAATAAAAACATACATAACAATGGCACGTATTACGAGATAACTTAGGGACACAAGTGAAGAACTTAGAATACTGATCTTTTTATGTCTTATGTAAAGCACTTTAAAATGAGACGTTATTTAAATTTTGTGTATAAAGGATGCTCTATAAATAACGTGTCTAATGTATTCTAGTAGTCTGGAGCGTTTCAGAAATATTTATGTGAACATCTAACAATAGTCACACGGGGGAGCAGACGCAGCACAGCAGGATGGCACTAAAAACCAAGAGAGGAAGCCCTCAAACCTGCTTCATGACCTCAATCTATCAGCCTGACTTATTAATAACAGCTAATAACAACACACTATGGCAGCAGAAATAAAGAAAACAATAAGATAAATTGTCTTTTATTGCTATGTGAGGCTCATTTTCCTCTCTCAAGAACATCTATGGTGACTTCAAACATCCAGTCAGCCTAAAATTCAATGTGAATCAACTATATCTACATAAATATAAAGAAAGGAGAAGTTGAGCAGAGGTGGGACCAAGTCATTGATTTGCAAGTTACAAATAAGTCTGAAGTCTTTGCACCCAAGTCCAGACTGACACGTCCCAAGTTAAGTGCCAAGTTATAAACTTTGAGTCTCGAGTCCTAAACAAGTCCAAATGTGCTCTTCATCAAATATATTACATTAAATTTACAAAAATCATGCCTGCTTTTTTAAAATTTGTATTTATTTGTTAAAACAAGTGCGGCTGATCATACTTTATAATCATTGGGCTTAGGGAAAAGGTATAAAGTATTTTCAAGTCAAAAGGCTCAAGTTAAAGTGAAGTTACGTGTCCAAGTCGATTTGAAAGGCTTTTTTTGATTTTGTCAAGTCTAAAGTCCTCATGGGACTTGAGTCCACGCCTCTGAAGCTGAGTGAATGATGTCAGCATGCAGGGCGGTTTACCTGTCGCTCTGGTGCCCAGCATGCGTCTGTCGTAGATCCGCACTGAGCTGTCAGAGCAGCCAACAGCCAGGTAGTACGGCACCAGAGGGGAAATGGAAATAGAGGTCGCTGCCCTTCGACAGTTTATCAGGATGTCCTGAAATCAAAGAAAAGAAAACAAGCATAATTCATTCTTCTCTTTTCTAGAGTGAATGAGCCTGACTCTACAGTCAGCAGCACCAGAGGTGGCATTTCAAAAGAAATCTGTATTTACAGACAAATAGATTTGAGGACAGTCAATAGTTTGATCCGGAATTTGATATTTTCCAGTTGTGGATGTCCACTTGTAACATTAACAGGCTGTAGGGTAATTAAGAGGGAGAGGTAACACAGACTGGTTAAGGTCATAGGCACTGATCTCCAGCAGGGAACACGAGAAGATGCAACACAATCTAGAGGGCACAGCCTCTCACACACACACACGCACACACAGATGCAGCCTGGCCTGAAGCCAAGAAAACTGTTTTTGGAATAACCCCTGAATGCATATTTAAAAAAATGAAATTAAAAAAAACAGGACATAACATGCCAGTTTTTCCACAGTAAAACAGACCCCCACTAATGACCAAATAGCCGCCATCACCAACTGGAACATCCCAGCTGTCACCGTACATCTTTGCAGTCTTCCTTCGTGCAGCTCGTCTTTGTGCGGAGGTCAAACCACCGCACCGTGCCGTCCTCCCCACACGACAGGAACGTGTAGGGGTCATTTGGTACCGTCATAATCTGAGAAAACAAAAAGAGAGAGGCCGAGGTCAGGAGACAGAAACCACGAAGAAGAAAAGACGCGTATACGCTGCATGAAATGTTGGACTGGCGTCTCTCTCGCTCAGCACCTCGTAGGCTGTTCCATAATGGCAGGTGAACTGACACTGTCTGTTGTGCTCGGGACTCTTCTCTGTGTTGGTGTAGTAGATGATGCCGTCTCCAGAGCAGGAGATGATCTCCTGATCGTTAGTGTGGGGCATGAACTTGGCGCTGAAGATATTCGCCCGATGACCTGAACGTATTGACTTCTTGACCTGAGGAAGAGAGAATAAGTGATAGCTGAATTGTCAAAATGCCAAATGAGCTCCAAGTTGTTAAATAATAAACAGCTGTAAAACTTTATCTGCTTTTAATTCAAAGATAAAAGTTAATTTACGGCCTTTTGTTGTTCTTCCATTATTAAAAAGAAATCCGCTAATTTCAGTGAAAGTGACGACAACCTACCTTTTTGTTGTACGGGTTGGAGATAACCAAAAAGGTGTCGTCTGACCCCGACAGGAGATATTCACCGGTGTCGTTCCAGCATATAGTGTTGACCTGAGGAGAGTTAATACACATCTCATTATGCAAAGATACAGATGTTAACTTTGCAGAAATGTGACATTTTAAAGAGACTAAACCAGAAGTTCAAGATGAATCTAAGAGATTAGGAGATGATTATCAGTCCAGGAAATAAGAAAACACAAAACGTTCCGACATGGAATTAGAAATTTTTTAAATGTGCTTTTCTAATCTGTGCTTTTTGTGAAATATTGCATAGTTTCAATACTTCAGGCCTCCAGAATGATTTAAATGAAAGAGTCTGAGACAAAAAAACAGGACTGAACTACTACCAACACATCGTCATGCACCTTGTGCGGAGGGGTTGTTAGTAGGTATTGGTTTGTCTTAATTAAGGGCTCACAAGCAAATCAAAGTTGGGAACCACTGAGACTTAATAACAGGTTCATTAACATTGACTGAAATCACAATGAAATCATATTAGTAATCCATCCGTGAGTCTAAAGCGGAGCACAATAACACTCAGCAGACGGTTTGCTGTCACTCTGAGGATCAACATTTCATTAACATCTGGTTGTTGCAGCGTCAGTGTTTCGTCATCACACTGTTGCTCCTCATTTCCAGACTCACTCTGCTGCAATCAGTGAAATCACACTGCCTGCCCGCCCATTCACCACATCCTGCAGACTGAACCCGGGGCTCAATCTTACACTGCACTTCAAACCAGTTTCAATGCATTCTGATGCTCTGAAGGTAAACGTTAGCAGACTGTGAGGTGCAGGTGAGTCTGTCGTGTGTCTCTCAGGTGATGGAAGACTAAAAGGCAGAGGGTGAGCAGGCACGAGGTGATCTAGATGTAGAGCATCATCGGGCCTTTTTTAAAAACATAGATCTGAGTATCTTGTGCAATAACAGTGAAAAAAGCCTCAGTCTTCAACAGGCAGGCAGATATATACATTCATGGCAAAATCTACACGTACATGATACTGTAATGTTTCTTCTAAACATATATTTATTACCTTCGTCAACTGGGAATGCAACCCAAAAATGATGCTTCTGGTATGTATTTGTATGGGAGTTGGGGAGGGGGGGGGGTGTCTATTTGTTTGGTGTATTTTGTATAAAACCAAAAGAGCAGACGCTCAGTAGGTTCACCACCTTCAGTTACGACTGCAACTAACAATTTATTTCATTTTTGATGAATCTGCTGAGTATTTAGTCTATAAAATGTCAGAAAACATAAACAACAGCAGAGAAAAGCAGCAAACCCACACAGTGGAGAAGCTGGAACCAGAGAATCATCAGCATTTATTTTTACTATTTCTGCTTTAAATATGGCTCAAACTATTATCAACATAGAGGCATTATCTTTCTGTTGATCTGATGAACCATAAAGCATTTAGTTGACTCTCCAGCGGTGTCGCCTCTATGATCTGTGACTTCCTGGAGAAAAGATGCTACATCACCCACTCTTAGAGAACACTGATCAACCTTTAAATCATACATTTATTAATAGTCTACAAAGTGTCGAAAATAATGTCAAATGTCCACCGCATGATATCAGAACCCAAAGTATACAGTCTAATTATATGCGACACAGAAAAGGAAAACCGTCACATTTCAGAGGTTATAAACATAATCAGTATTCTCTAAAATAATGTTTGGTGTTTTTATTCAATAAACCACTTAAATGTATTAATTGATGATCAAAACTTGTCATTCAATTTTTTGTTTATCTACAAATTGATTAAGCTAAATAATAGTTTCAGCACAAAATGACTAACAATTTATTTATAAAGTACATATATCTCAGCTTGCCGATACATAGAGAGACAGTTAATATATTCATAACAAATGTTCCTCAAATCCTTGTTACTGCAGCTCTTGTGGCTGAGACATGGCCGGTGTCAAAGTGAAGCTCTCCCGTGGTTGTTGTGGTGGTTTGAAGGGACTGACGCCCGGGCCGATAGTGTGACAGGACCTGTGACTGTCAGCTTCAGGTTTCTCAGCGGTATTATTAAGCACCTGGCCTGGAGTCAAAGATCGGCTCTCCGTCAGACACTAAGGCTTCACAAGCTGACTGAGGGAAAAGCAGGAAGTGTTTCTCTTTTCAAGATGAATGAACAAAAAGAACAAATGGGTGTGAAACGTGGGGCACTTACACAGCCATCATGTACGTTCAGCGTCCCTTCAAGTTTAAGTCTCTGAACAAACTCTCTTCTACCTGTGAAAAGAGAGAGAAAACAACTGTAAAGAATGACAGCGCTGTCCATCATTCATCTTCACTGTAGTTACATGCAATAGCAGCTCTGTAGACTGGCTTAAAATAGCTCTTAATTAATTAGTTAATAGCATTAATTAAACTGTGAAGAAAAACTCACTCATTGTTCAGGTGATTTGTCACGTATTTAAGCCATAAAACAGTTATAACTCATCCTGAGCAATAATAAAGTTAGATTGTGATAGTGAGACACTGACTCTAAACAGGTTTTGTTTAGTCGTGGGTTCAAACTGTAAAAGAGACAATTCAGTGAATTTAAAACAGTCAGCCGGCAGACTAAAGAAATAAATCTTTGAGTGCGCTGTTGACACGATTCTCCCACAATGCAATGCACAATGGAGGAGCTGCTCTTAGCTGCTAAAAATGAAAAGCACTTGTGAATGAAACAACTCAGAACACAAAAAAATAACCGTTACATTTTTAAAAAGAAGAAACATTTTTCTGCCTCTTTGTTTAGAGTCGTGTCAGCACTTATCGTTACATTTTCCGTTTCTTGTTTTATATTTATTCTCATTATCATCTTCCCACATCTGTCTCTTCGTCAGTCTTTTGGTTCATTTTGTAAAAAGAAGAATAAAAAACGTGATGAAATCTTTCAAAGAGGCACAAAACAAATATGGTTACATTACATTATGACATTCTGCGTCATTATTTCAACTACTTTTCTGATCATTATAGTACACACTGAATACAATTGGGACTGGGACACAGAGATAAGGTAATATAATAATATAATATATGGTCTAGGTGTGAGGGGGAAGCATGCTCGCTTCCTGTATTTAATGGGGGAACGAGGTTTCCTCTTTTGTTGAAGAAAGAAGTTGTGAAAGCGAGCATCGAGGATACGATCGAGAGCTTTACTTGCACCGACAGGTTTCATTAACGTTGCATCAATCAAACAAGCCTCAATCTGTGTTTCCTGTAAATGAGAAGCGATCGGCTCCTCTGAAGCTGTCAATCAAAAGGACTAATAACAACAACAACAACAACGATAATAACATCAGAATATTCCTACTACAGTCATGATCACACAAGATGCTTCTTTCATTTGTATTTCTAATGTGTCGTGTGATATCTTCTGCTTGAAAGTTATGACTTAAAAAGTTAACTAAAACAAACAAAAGAATACATTGTATCTCACTCTGCAACACATTAAGATTTTACTATTGGCTGCTTCTTCTTTTTTTAATGACTATAATCACTTAATTGTGTAATCAATGTGTCGACACACAGCCTGTGTTTGGCCAGTTATACATGGAAATAAGGAGAATGTGCTTCATGCCAAAGTGGATGCAGACCTGCCTGTAAATTAATTCAGCGGTTTTATTTCTACTTTAACGTGTTAAAAAGCTTTGTTTCATCTCATCCGACTTGTTTCTGCTCTCTGAACTACTCCGTGCTTTGTGGAGTCTCCCATCAGCGTGTTAAACAGATTCAAATGTCCTTATTAACACTTAGATCATGTCTTCAGTGCACAGACAGCCCTGCTATACATAACCTCCCCGGAAGTGTCTTCAGCATAGACCACCACTTGTTGCCCCCCCCCCCCATCCCCCCTTTAGGAGCTAAATATATCCTACACATCACTGCATGTATCCTCTACCCATAACACAATAACAGCTCCGGCCATATCTCAGTCCAGCTAAATACAGCGCTGACTCAACCGCCGTGGCACCTGCCCCACCTCAACTAGGCTTATATATCTCCAGTCCACTACTGTCAGGTGTCTGCTGGGCCACATTGTAGACGGGTCTTATGAAACCTCTCTTGTTTCGCTGTGTGCCGGCGGCGCCGCTGCCCCTCCGTTGTGGTCCTCTCACAACAAACACACACACATGCAGCAGAACCAGGAGAAATGTCATTAATGAGGAGGATCGCTGCGAGTTAACTCACACTAAGTGAGTTTCAGAGTTTCACCCTCGTTCAGCTGGAAACATGAATGAAAAACAACACAATCTAGACTCAACATTTCAACCTGGTGACAAATGCTCTTATTTATAAGTGCCACAATAACACAGCATCGTCTGTGACTATTTAGACCATCAGCAGTTTCATGGTCAGTTTAAAAAAATATTAATAATAAAAGGAAATGGACAAAAGCCTATTTCTATTTGGTCTATTACTGAAGCAGCTGCTTTCCTTTATTCCAATGTGGAAACTTTTTTTGAAGACAAATAAACAATTAGGCTGCCAGTGTTTCGTCACACTGGCCTGAAATTCTACATGATATTACAATATTTACTGCATATTCACTTACTTGATGCTATTGTTCTTGTGTCTGTTTGCATTGGCATACAATAAAAATGTTGTTGTTTTTAAGGTTATTAAGATTGCTTTCAGTTTGGATACGAGCACTTTGTTGCAAAATACACTTCATACTGAAACATCTCTTTATAAATACATTACACGACTCATCCCAGCTTTTATTATGGTTTTTTTACCGTTCTAGTGCTATATTTTAGAGTTATGTTACACAGACAGACAGACAGGTAACAGAGAGATGGTGATGTAGTCTGTAGATGGTAATTACACAGGAATTGCATATATGCCGCAATTCCTGTTATCAGATTTATTCCTGTAGTTATTACATCATAACATGCTGCACTATTACGGATTATTTATTTATATATATATATATATATATATATATATATATATATATATATATAT